AGTATTCTACTACCGAGCTGTAGCCCTTTTTTCTGAACCCTTGAACCCATACCAGCCTTTAAGTGCTGTTTCCTTCTCTGAGCTTCTTGCTTTACTCTTTGCTTTCTTATAATGAACATTTTTAAAGGATGTGGAAAAGTGAGGAGGATGATGACAAATGTCCATGATGACATCATCTGGATCTTTAACCTATCACCAGTCTAGGGCATCTTTCCTTTGTGTATTTCTCCCCCATCTTTAGCTAAACTATTATACATTCTTTTCCTTTTTTTTCAAAAGCCAGGCTACATGTTAAGTATTTATTTATTTATTTATTTATTATGTATACAATATTCTGTCTGTGTTTGTATGCCTGAAGGCCAGAAGAGGGCACCAGACCCCATTACAGATGGTTGTGAGCCACCATGTGGTTGCTGGGAATTGAACTCAGGACCTTTGGAAGAAGAGTCAATGCTCTCTTAACCTCTGAGCCATCTCTCCAGCCCCTATTATACATTCTTTATCTGTTCAGGGATGATGTCTTGCTATGTAGCCCATCTCCAGTGATCTTCCTTCCCTAGCATCAGGACTACAGATACACTTGTGCAGATGAGTGCGTGCCATGTGCGTGCACGCGCTCACACACACATGCGTGCGCACACACGGAACAGCTCTGGTTATCTGCACAAGATCAAGCTAGACAAAATTCTAGCGTGGATGCGGGAGGAGCCCGAGTCTCCCGATTGGAGCAGCTATCGGCAGCTGATGTTTGCTGGAGGAGGAAGATTCATTCTTCTAGGACTGCAGCCACTAGTGGGTTATTCGGGCCTCAGTGGATGGCCACACATTCATGCCATTGAAGGCGAAAGCTAACAGCTAAAAGGACAAACAGTGGGTTTGTTATGCCTTTGAAGGCTTGGTCCCCAGTTGTCGGTGCTGTGTGGGGAAGTTTAAGAGGTGAGACCTTATTGAGGAAGTGTGTCACTGGAGGTGGGCTTTGAGAGTTTCAAAACTTCTCCCCCTCTAGTAATTCTCTCTCTGCTTTGTGATTGACGCTGAAGATCTGAGTTCTGAGCTTGCTGCTCCTGCTGGCCTGTAGCCATGCCTGCCGATTCCCCACCATGATGGTCTCTTGTCCCTCTGGAATCTAAGCCCGGATAAACTCTTTCTTCTATATGTTGCCTTGGCCTTGTTTTATCAGAGGAGCAGGAAAGTAACTAGTCCAGTGCCTGTGGATGGATGAGAAACGGTGGGTTTAAAGATTCCTTTTTATTTTGTATGTGCATTGGAATTTATCTGCATGTATGTTTGTGAGGGTGTCGGGTCTCCTAGAACTGGAGTTACAGCCAGTTGTGAGCTGCCATGGGGATGCTGGGAGTTGAACCAGGGTCCCCTGGAAGAGAGGTCAGTGCTCTTAACTGCTGAGCCATCTCCCCAGCCCTAAGCAACTGTGGTTTCAAGCTAGATGTGGCAGTCAGGGCACCATCACTTAAAAGTCTGAGGCAAGACAATTAGACAACTAAGCTACTTTTATCTGGTTATAGACATTATGTAAGTCAGTCACTTCTGTGTACTTTGGCCTCTATTTCTGTCAGAGGAAGCCTTATGAAACAAAAACAAAACAACCCTATTGCATTATTACAAACTAACACTAAACAAAAATGTTAGTAATATTATGTAAATTTCAGGCTGTATTTCAATGTCCATAACTGACTAAAAAAGTTCTAAGTCTTCTGTAACAAACCTGGAAAATCTTCTCCCCCACTGCCTCCGTGGTTTTCCCTCTTGCTCTCTCTTGATCCACACTGTGGTACTTTCTCTTCCATCCCCATGGAAGCTACTCTCCTTTCGGCTACCCCTGGCTTCCAAAGTGCTAAATATGAAGACAAGTTGGGTGGCTCAGGCCTGGAATCTCAGCTGCTTGGAGGCTGAGGCAGGAGGATGAGGAGTTCAAGTCCTGCTCAGGCTACAGAGTGGGTTCTAGGCCAGCTGGGAATCTTAGGAGTAGAGCACCTGCCTAGAATCCCCCAGTGAGGGGCTGGGAATCTTAGGGGTAGAGCCCCTGCCTAGAATCCCTCATCGAATGCTTGCCTCGCAAGTGCAAATTCAAAGGTTAAATCTCCAGTGCAAACAAGGAGGCAGCTGCAGTTCTCAGGTTGCTAGTCTGATCTTTAAGCAGCATTTGAATTAATTCATCTTCTTCCTTGTACTTTTTTTTCCTTTTTGTTTTGAGACAGAGTCTTAATATTTTGTAGTTCTTATTATCCCCATGAGTGCTGCTATCACTGGTGTTACCAAGCCTGGCTAAATAACTTTAATTATGGTAAAATACTGAAAGCATAACATTTGCTACTGCTTTCATTTAAAATATATAATTAAAATAATCTAGCTGGGTGGTGGTGGCACACACCTCTAATCCCAGCTCTTGCGAGGCAGAGGCAGGCGGATCTCTGAGTTCCAGGCCAACGTGGTCTACAGACTGAGTGCCAGGACAGCCGGAGCCATTACAGAGAGAAACCCTGTCTCAAAAACTCACACGCACACATACATACACAGACACACAGATACACAGACACACACCTTCTTTGAGGACTTCATGCAATGTATTTTGATCATACTGACCCTTATTCTTTCCCTCACTCCTTACCAATCCACCCCACCTCCCTAGTACCCCAACTTTGTGTTCTCTGTTTTGTTGTTTTGTTTTGAAAGAACCCATTGACGCCATCTTGTGCTGCCCATACTCAAGGGTGTTGGGTCATCTACTGGAATGTGGCTGATCTACCACTGGCCACACCCTTAAAGAAAACTGTCTCTCCACCCTCCAGATGCCATCAACTGCTCAGAGGTGGGGGCACGTGAGCCTCTTCTGATTCCGTGCTTGACAGTTGACTGGTTTGGTCTTGTCCCAGCAGCCACAGGTGTCACGATCTCAGGAGTGCAGCAGCTCTGTCACACCAGATGACACTGTGTTGCTCTGGTCTTCCCTGACCACAGGCTCTTGCAATCTTTCTGTCCCCCTTTCTGCACAGGTCCTTTAGCCTGGGCTGTTGGTGGTGGTGGGCCTTGGAGACGTTCTGTTTGTGACAGAGCACGTCCTGGACACTTATTCTCCTGCACTTTGACCAGTGTCTAATCCCCTCGCCCATTTTCCAGTGCTCAGTTCTGTGGTAGGATTGCCCTTTGGTGTTGTGTAAGCCATTACCAGAACCCTTAACCTCTTGCCAAACTGACATCTGATATTAGTTAAACATAGCTTTCCGTGTCTCCCTCCCTTCAGCCCTGGAGAGCAGCCACTCCGCGTTCCGTCTTTATGAATTTCACTGCCCTAGGACGTAGAATTGTACACAATTTGTCTTTTTTGGAGGCTGCTTTGTCTGTGAGTGTTTGACTGTGTGTCTGTGTGTGTCTGAGGAGTTCAGAAGACTGTTGGATTCCCTGGGACTGGAGTTACAGATGTGAGCCCCCAGGTGGATGCTGGGAATGAGCCCCACTCCTTTGAGAGCAGTAAGTCTCTTAACTGTTGAGCCATCTCCCCTGCCTTTGAATTTTTGGGCAGGGCCTCATGTAGCGAAGTTTGGCCTTGCCTCCTGTATCCTCCTGTCCCTCCATCCTGTGTGTGCTTCCAGGCATGGTTGTAAATTTCATAGATCCTTTTTTTGGGGGTGGGGTAGGCTGAAGAAATTCCTTTCTATTTTTATATTTAGAATTAAAAAATACTCATTTATTTTTATTTTATGTGTGTGGATGTTTTTCCTGTGTGTTTAACTGAACACCACTTTCATGCAATGTCTGAGACGGCCAGTAGAGGGCGTCAGAGCCTTTGCATCCAGAGTTCTGAAGGCTGTGAGCAGCCAAGTGGATGGTGGGAACTGAATTCAAGTGTTTTTAACCACTGAGCCATTTCTCCCAGGGTCCTTGGGCATTTTTATAAGCAGTGAAAGACAGATTTTTTGACAAGGTTTCTTTGTGTAGCCTTGGCTTTCCTGGAACTCACTCTGTAGTCCAGGTTGACCTTGAACTCAGAGGTCTGTTTTTCTTTGCTGCCAAGTATTGAGATTAAAGGCCACCACCACCAGGCTGAAACTGGATTTTTTTGGTCAGATGTTTCATCTGCACCTATTGGGAGATCACGTTGGACTTTTTCAGAGTGTTGCTGGTTGAACAAGAATGGCCAGGAACACACTGAGCTCTTGGGGTTTTGAGTCAGGGTCTCACTAGAAAACCCAGGCTAGCCTTGAGCTCATGACCCCTGCTGCCTCCTCCTCCAGAGTGTATAAGCTGTAGGCATATATCACTTGGCTTCTTGTTATCACTTTCTTTGCTTTTTTTTTTTTTTTGGACAGAGTTTCTCTGTGTAGTCCTGGATGTCCTGGAACTTACTTTGTAGACCAGGCTGGATTTGAACTCATAAAAATCCGCATCCCTCTGCTTTCCGAGTATTGGGATTAAAGGCGTGTGCCACCACTGCCCAGCTTCATTGTTTCTTAAAAAATGTGTGGAATTAAAGGCAGACAGATCTTTGTGAGTTCAAAGCCAGCCCAGCTTGGTCTATAGAGTGAGTTCCAGGACAGCCAGGGCTACAGTGAGAAACCCTGTCTCGAAAAACAAAAACAAAAACGAAAAACTGCCTGGAGCAGGCTCTTAACAAATTGCCTAGGCTGGCACTGAACTCACAGTTTCCTGCTTCTACCTCCCGAGTGCTGGGTTTGTGCCACTACACCAAGCCTGTTTCCAGGATTTTAAGGATTTAATTTTAGTTATAATTATGTTTATGTTTGTGATTGTGTGTGGACATGTGCGTGAAGAAGGATCAGATCCCATGGAGCTGGAGTTACAGACAGTTGTGAGCTACCACGTGGGTGCTGGGGATTGAAACTGGGTCTTCTGAGGGAGCGGCCAGTGGTCTTGACAGCTGAGCCGTCCTTCTTGTCCCTATTTTCATGTTGATCTTTTTGAGACAGAGCTTGACCACACAGCTCGGGCTGGCCTCTAACTTGCATTCTGCTTCTGTCTCCCAGGTACCGACATGAGTGTGCCCTACCTCTGCCTCTGAAATGCCTTTGGAAACACTGGGACTCAGGTGATGGGAGACACTGGCGTAGGTTCCGGCACACAATTAAGAGCACGTTTGTTCCTAAGCGTTTTCAGTTTAGATGTAATGGTTACAGCATGTGACCCGAGGCGGAGGTTTACAAGTTTAAGGCTTGACTGGGCTACACAGTGTGTTCAGAATCAGCCTGGGCAACTGAGCCAGAAATTAGCTGAAAATCAAAAAGACTGGGGCTCTAGCTCAGGGCAGAACAAAGCCCTGGCTTCATTGTCTTGAAATGTAATAATTTCCCCCTATGTATTTGATGTTTGTTCTTTTTCTTATTAATTTTTAATAAATTTTTAATTTTTTCTTATTAATTTTCATTTTATGTTTGTATTATGCATTATTTTGTTAATCCTTATTAGAGTTTCTATTTTGATATGGTTCATAATTAATAGTTGTGAAAAATAAAGAAGGCTCTCTAATTAAAACTCAGAAGCCGGCTGGAGATGTAGTTCAGTGGTGAAGTCCTGGCCTGGCACAAAGCGCTGGTGAATGCTTGGTAGCACACACATGCCCACGCCCACACCCACTTTCATTCACAACACTCACACACATCCACACACGCGCACACCCCCATACTCAGGCACACTCACGTTCACACAAACACACATGCATTCAGGCAAGCACACAAATATGCATTCACACAGAAATACCCATATTCACACACACTCACGTGCTCACACACAGACACAGGCTCATGCCCTGTGGGTTGTAATCTCTGGGGGTTGAACAATTCTTTCATAGGGGTTCCCTGAAGCCACTGGAAAGAACAGATATTTGCATTATGATCCATAACAGCAGTAAATGGCAGTTATGAAATAGCAATGAAGATCATTTTATGGGGTCACTACGACAGGAGGAACTGTATGAAAGGGTCACCGTGTTAGGAAGGGTGAGAACCACTGTCCTAGCATAAAGGAGGCAGAAGAGGAGGAGGAAGGGAAAGGAGGAAGAAGAGGAGGAAGAAGAGGAGGAGGAAGGGGGGAAGGAAGAAGACACAGCTTTGGCAGCAGGGCTGGGAGTCCAAGGGAAGCCTGGGCTACAGGGCAAGTCCCTGTCTGCCCCATTTCCCACTTAATGCTATATTTCGTTCTAGAGCTGAGAATTGGATCAATACCTGCTTTTTATATAAATTTTTTATTCTTTAATTTTTTGTCTGCTTTAAGTGTCAGCCACTACTGTTTAAATCTCTTCTCATGATAGTAGATTTTGTAAATTCTGAGTTTATTTTCATAACCTGAGGCTGTGGGGTTATGTGTTAGGCTCCGCTCCTTCCCCTTCTCCTCTTCCTCCTTCTTGTGAGGCTTGGATGGAGCCAAGGCCTCACACAGGTGGTGTCTTGGTCTGGGTTACTGTTGCTGTGATGAAGCAGCCTGTTGGTGTTGGGGAGGGAAGGCTCATCAGGCTCACAGTTCCACATCTCTGTGCATCATCAAATGCAGTCAGGACAGGAACTCACACAGGGCAGGAACCTGGGAGCAGGAGCTGATGCAGAGGCCATGGAGGGCGTGCTGCTTACTGGCTTACATCCTGGCTTGTTCATTCAGCTTCCTAGAACCCAGAACCAGCTGCCAACAAGCTGGGCCCTCCCTCATCAATCACTAATTAAGAAAATGCCCTATGGACCTGCCTACAGCCTGATCTAATATGGACATTTTTTCAATCAAGGCTCTCTCCTCTCCAGTGACCCTAGCTTGGGTCAAGTTATTATGTAACTAGCCAGCATATCAGGCAAGCAGTCAACCACTGAGCCACATCCCCAGCCCTTCAGAGGGGGTTCTGGGCAGGGGCTCTACCACTTAGCCATGTTCCCAGACTGCAAGGTTTTATAACATCTTGCATATTGTTTTTTCTCCCACAATATTACTCTCATTGCTGATAATAGTTTGCCATGTGAAGTTTCATCTCATAAGTACAGAGAACAGCTTTTCCTTCAGCTAGCAGTAGGCTAATATATAACTTCCCACTGGGATTCATTCACTGGTGACTGCAATCTTTAAAAATTAACAAAATACAGATGCACATATATTTATTTCTAAAAGTTATTTTGTGCTTTCTTTCATTTTGAAAAGGCTCTTTGTTGGTTTAGGTAAGGACCCATTCTGTAGCCCAGGCTGGCCTTGAACTCCTGATGCACTTGCCTCAGCCACAAGTGCTGGGGTTATAGGCACGTGCTGGCATACCTGCCTTTATTTTGTGTTTTTTATGTCTTGTCTTTCTTTTTCTAGTCAAACCATCCCCTCACTTTTGTACCACTTTATTAGACATGGGTTCTTTCATTTATGTCTAGACCCTCAATCGTCCTGAAAATTGTCTATTTCTTTTTACCAGTTGCCTTTAGCACTGTAAACATCTTATTAGAAGAACATCTTTGCATTTTCCCGGGCATCTGGCGAGCTGCTTGAATTTGAGCTTTCAGAACAAATCAAGGAGATATTGGGGGGAGGCCCTCAGTCTGTCTTTGATTTGGCACAGTGTAAGGCAGTTGCTGGCTCCCCATTTGCTTAGTTTCTGGGTCCATTTGCATCTACACTGCCCTCACACACCTAGGTGAGTTCGTGGAGAAGTTGTGGAGAGTCAAGGAGAGTCAAGGAGAGTCACCAGGACAGGATCAATGCCCCCTTAGCGCAGCTGGGGTGTCACTTGGGCTTGGTTTATTTGCAGGAACCTTGGCTAAGGTCAACAATGTGAGCACCAGATGCTCTGCAGGGCTGGGGGATTTGCTGTGATGGCAGGTGCTGAGCCAGAAGTTTTCTGTCCCTGTTGTCTGCCATAGCCCTGCTTCCCAGAGAAGAAAGAGGAAGCAAAGAGAGAAGGATCTGAGGAACTGATGATGCCAGGGAATCTATTCTTTGGGATTAATGAAATGACGCTGAGCTGTTTGTCTAGGCGCCGTGATTAATCCCAGTGTATGGAGGAGGTAGAGGCAGGTTGATCCAAGTTCTAGGCCAACACGAACTGTTCTTTAGAAAATACGGACTGGTTTTTATTTGTTTGTATGGCTATGTATCTCTGTGTGGCATGTGCATGCAGAGAGGGCAGAAGAGAGTGTAGTATCTCTGGAGCTGGAGTTATGGGCTGCTGTGAGCCGCTTGACCTGGATGCTAGGAGCCAAACTCCAGTCCTCTACAAGAGCAGCAAGTGCCCTTTATTACGGAGTCATCTCTCCTGTTCTGGTGCTGTCTCTGAAAGGTTTTCAGAACTGTGGGGAGAGCCCAGCACACGCCACTGTTCCTGTCTCTGCAGCACCTGCAGTTCCAAAGCCATTGTCCATGTAGGCATATCTTTGGCTTTTACTGAAAAGTAAGAAGCCATGCTTATTATCACTCCCATGATACCTTGAGGAGTCATGCGGAACCCCAACAAAAATCTACACCCCATTTCTCCTGAGCCCTAGGGATGCCAGAGGCTTTGGTTGACAGTGGATTTGGGCTCTGTTGGTGAATGCAAATGAATGATACCAGTTTGGACAAGTAAGACCTGGGAGCTGAAGGGTGAGCTCGCCGCCGTTATTCCCTGGTGCTGTTTACAGCCACACCTGATTTTTCTGTTAGCTTTTGGATTATCGGGATTAACCTTTCTTTTCCCATCTCTGTCACTTCTCCCTGGAAGGCGGTCTGCCAACCATGAGCCTCCCCATTTCAAACAAAACAAAGTTCAAAGGAGCTCTACCATCTCCTCCCTCACAAGCTGTGCCTGAAGATGTTTACTGTGATGGGTGGAGAGAAATATCAGCTTCTTTGGAGAGATTTGCTCCCATGGAGAGATCATGGCGTTGCCTGTAAACATGAGTGCACAATAGTCTCAGCTTCTAATGTTTTGGTGTTTGCAATTAACAGCAATGTTTTAGGTGTTCGCGATTAACAGCAGGGCTGTCTGAGGTGCACGGATTCTTTTATTTAATTATTTTTCTTTTACAAAAGCTTATTATTTTATAATTATACACACATATCTTCTCTAAATTGAGGTTTTTTTTAAATAGCATGTGCATTGGTATTGTGCTTGCATGGATGTCTGTATAAAGGTGTCGGATCCTCTGGAACTGGAGTTACAGACAGTTGTGAGCTGTCAAGTGGATGCCGAGAATTGAACCCAGGTCCTCTGGAAGAGCAAACAGTTCTCCTAACCACTGAGCCATCTCTCCAGCCCAATCACATCCTCTCTATTCCCTCCCCTTGTGTATATCTTCATCTTCCTCCAAACTTTTTTGCTCCGACTTTCATGTCTTTGTGAGTGTGAGTGAGTTTGAATGTGTGTGTTGTGTAAGTGTGAGTTGTGTTGTGTGAGTGTGTGTTGTGTGTGTGTGTGTGAGACTCACTGCATTCGATTAAGATTTCTCATTTGAGAGTGGGTGAGGAGCAATTTACTTCAGTGTGGACACTTAGCAGAGACTACATCATTGCGGTGTCTCCAGCTCCTCCAGGAGGGGAGGGGAGGGATCGTATTACCCCGCCCCCATCCATGATGGAGTGGCCACAGGCCCCACGGTGTGTCACCCTTGTTTAGTGTGTTCATGCAAGCAGCATCTGTGTCATGTGCAGAAGTCCTTCCATTCTTTCCGGCTTCTCCTTCATGGTGTTCCCTGAGCTTTGTGGGGTCCCTGGGGGAGCAGATGTCCCATTAGGGCTGAGCAGGCCCCAGTAACTTATTCTCAGCTCTGCCCAGTTGTGAGCCTTAGCTTTTTTTCTTCTCATTAGCGTATATTTATTGTATCAGGTGATGGGTTTTATTATGACACTTTCTTTAAAAAAATGTTTACTTCTTTTCATGTGCACCACGTGTGTCCTGGTGCGTGAGGAGGCCAGAAGAGAGTGTTGGTATAAAATGTTTGATAAAAGACTGAAAATTAGGGTCAGAGCCGAGAGCACCAAGAGCTAACCAGAAACAAAAATGTTCATTTCTTGTAATGCAGCAGACAATGATCTAAGCGATTTGATAGAGGGCTTGGAACAATGTCCAAGCCTATAAACCTCAATCTTTTGGAGGTTGTTGTTCAGGGGTAGTCTGGGACCACCTGTATGTCAGATGTTTAAATTGAGATTGACAAAACATAAACAAAACTGCAGTTGTAAAATAATAACAGAAAATATTCTGTAATGGGAGGATAACTATACCATGAAAAACTACATTAAAGGCAAAAGCATTAAAATATTAACTAATGGTTTAAAAATATATTTCCTTGTTCAAGATCTATTCAGGTCTAAAAATGTATGTTTAGCCTCCTTGTCTTTGCTAACTTTGTTGGGTTTAAGCTATTTGGATAAACTGAGTCATAAATTTTTGCATTGATACTAAGAGGTTTGGA